TGATGAGTCGGTGAAACTCCGACGAAACAGTTTGTCACAGCCCCTCGTTTGTTGTCCTCTTCTCCCTCTCTGCCTACGGTTTACCGGGCAGTTCTATTTGACGATATATAATATTTCTATTAATATTGTCTATTGTTGTATAGTTATTACTTATTATTTGACATATTTTGGTTAGATTCCAATATCTTTGATTTATATAAATAAATTTAATAAAATCAATATAATAAGAATGCAAGGAACCTGACTGTTCATAGCTTGCTGGAGTGTATCTCATTGCATGCATAGGTGTCATCATACGGATAGAGAAATTTCACACGAAGCCAAATTGAGATGAGATGAGAGCCAGATAGCGCAGCTCATATTATCACAACAACATCATGCAAGAGTATCTCGAATCCAAGAGTTCAGCGCCAACAGAGTACAAGTCTCTTCCGTTCCATTCTCAATATAGGGCCTGGCTCAGGCAGCGTCTGCCCTCAGATCACAGGTATGGCGCCAACAGGTAAGTATCCACCATATCCAACTGCTTAACCTGTCTTCTCTCTCTCTCCCTCTCGAGATCCCTGTCTTGGTTCCCCTGTCTCACTCTGCATGCTCACTCCCTACTTATGAGGATCTACTCTGAATGCTACTCACTGATGTCTACTACTAACCCCTCTACTTCTACTAATAATGCTGGCGCAGCTATGGCTGCTTCTGCCAGTCAGCGCCCAGCCTCTTCTTCCTCTGCTTGCGCAGCTTCCAGCCAGCGCATTCTCCCTGCATGCTAGCGCACAAGTGCTTCAGCACTTCCACACATCAATGCCAGTGGAGATCTGTCGTGTAGGGAGGCTGGCCTGGTCTCTTATAGTGCTGGCCTCCCTTCGCGAGGTCTGAATCAGTCTTCCTTGGGTCTTTCCCGAGCCCCAGACCACTGCAGAATGTGTCCAAGTATCCTTCCCTCAGGGTCTGATGCTGCTGCGGCCTTTAGGCCTGAATTTTGGACTTTTGGTCTGAATCTGGACTGTCTATTGGACGTTGATTTGGACTGGGACTCTACCCCATTGACTACCATTCAAACAGACACAACTTCTGCACGAACAGACACGTCTACTGCACGAACAGACATGACTTGCACAGCCCCCTGGACGAACAGACGTGACTCTCACAATTGAATGCTGCAACTGTTCGTCCTGGGGCACGACTGTGACCTTTGACACAGCTCCTCACTTCAGTTAGGATGTGACGTTTGACCCAGAGAACATGTCTTTTGATCTGCTTTTCACGAATTGAGTTCTGGCCGAGTGTGCCCCATTATGCTGCGTTCGTCATTCAGGGTCTGAACGGGTAAAGGCCCTTTTAAGAACAATAAAGAATACTTCAATTTTGAATTGACACTAAAGGACAATTTCTTCTGCTCCACAGGAATCAGCTTTGCGGATTGGGTCCGAGCTCGTGTGCAGCTGTGTGTACTAAAATGGTGATGATCCGCATGTCGGCATGGGGTGTGGCGGGGCTGTGTCCCTCTGTGTTTATTGTGCCAGCGGTGATTAAAGTTGTTGTCAATGCCATGGCTGACATCTCAGTGCCTGTGAGGGAGGCTGCAGCTGCAACTCTTCAGGAGAACGCGAATAGGTGAGTTGAGTGGTCCAGAATAGGCTCTCTAATGTCTTACTCTGCTCTGCTTTGTCAATGACGAGTCCGTGATTCAGTAGATTGACTGTGGACTGCTGTTAGCGGCTTGGTTGATTGCTTGTGAACAGTTGCTCTTAGTTTCAGACTTTCAGTTGATTGCCTTTGAAATGCTCTTGTGTGGTGTTTGGTGGAATATGATTCCTATAGCTTTGTGGTTCAATGGACTAGATGTGACGATATCGTCAAATAGAACTGCCCGGTAAACCGTAGGCAGAGTATATATATATATTGTCACAGCCCCTCGTTTGTTGTCCTCTTCTCTCTCTCTGCCTACGGTTTACCGGGCAGTTCTGTTTGTGACGATATATATATGGGTGAGTGATAGTCTACTTTGATTTTGGTTAAGGTAGATTATCATTTACAGTGTAATC